TCCAAAGTGCTAACCACAAAGCAATTGAATGAGGCTCTGGAAAAAATAAAATCAGAAATAATCTCCAAGACAACTACCGAGATTACCAAATTACAAACCATGCTTAGTGATGTTAGACCAGACACAGACCAAAAAAAAAATAGATGAGCTTAAGCAAATTACAGAAGCACAGCATAGGATACAAAAGGAATCCATAAAGCAGATTCAAGCAGATATCCAGGACAATGAAAACTCCACTGGAAATATTCAAAGCAGATTAACCCAATGTGAGGTCGAGATCACAGATATTGAAGATGGGCTTGCAGTTAGTGGCCAGGAAAGGAAAGATTTCTCAAAACTAGCAAGGGACCATGAGAAATCAACCCAGCAGCTGCTAGGTAAGACAAAGAATAATTTAAGATTAACTGTAGTCAGTGAACAAGCAGGAGATATCACAAATAACATTTAAAAAATGTTCAAGGCACTGTGACAGAAAACTCTCCTCATAGAGAAAAAGAATTTGACATACAAATGAGTGAAGTATATAGGATTCCAATTAACGATGATCAAAAAAAATCTATAGCCAGGTATATAATAATCAAGATTCCAGAAATTTAACATGAGAATAGAATCTTAATCCCAGCACTCAGGAGGCTGTGGCAGGAGGATAGTTGCAAGTTCAAGACCAGACTAGGTTACAAAGTGAGCTCAAGGCCAGCCTGAACTCAAAAAAAAAAAGAAAGAATACAACATTAAAAGCTGTTAGGAAAAAGAAACAAAACACCTATAAAGGAAAGCCCATCAGAATCACAGCTGACTTCTCAGCACAAACTCTCAAGTCAAGGAGAGCTTGGAGTAAAGTACACAACTTCTAAAGGAAAACAACTTTTAACCCAGATTGACGTACCCTGAAAACTACTTTCAAAACTGATGGAGAAATAAGATACTTCCATGACAAAGGACATTGAGGAAATTTACAAACACCAAATCAGCACTCCAAAATGTTCTGAAGCACATTATAGAAAGAGAATAAAGACTACAGCCCCATGAACCCCAACAGAAGGAATCCACCAGGAAAGGCAAACAATTGGGGGGGGGGGACAATAGGAAAATAAAGGACAACGATAAGTCAATACATTTCAGTTATAATCATCAATGTCAATGGTCTCAATTCACCAGTCAAAAGACACAGACTGGCAGAATGGATCATGAAGCAAGATCCAACAAATATGCTGCATACAAGAAACACATTTAATTCAAAAAGAAATTCATAGACTGAGAGTCAAAGGATGGAAAACAATACTCTATGCAACAGGAATAGAAAAAAGCAACAAATACCAGTATACCCAACGATATAAAACAATAATGGACATGAAAAATCAAATGAGCCCTAACACAACTGTATTGGAAGACCTCAATATCCCACAGTCACAAAAAGACTTATCAACTAGACAAAGAAATCAATGATGATATATTAGAACTAAATCAAACTTTGGACTTAGAGGACGTCTATAGTGTTCCACTCTACAACATCAGAATACACATTCTCCTCAACTACACATGGGACATTCTCCAAAGCAGACCATATACTAGAGCTCACAGAACATGCTTAAGTAAATGCAAAGGAACTGAAATTAACCCATGCACACTATCAAACCTCAATGCAATGAAATTGGAAATCCACGCCAAAGGAAACCACAAGAACTTCAGAAACACATGGAAATTAAATAGCACCCTACTGAACAACCAATGGGTCACAGATAAAATTAAAGAAGTAACTAGACAGGTTTTACAGTTGAATGATAACAATACAACATACTAGAACTTTGGGACACAATGAAAGCAGTCTTAAGAGGGAAATTTATAGCAGTAAATACCCATTATCAGGAAAAATGAGCAAGTGCTTATGAACAATTTGAGCCTCAAATTTCTAAAAAAGAAAAGCAGGCTAAACCAAAAGCTCACAAAGGGAGGAAAAGATCAGAGCATAAATTAACTGGAAATTGAAAAAACAATATAAAGAATCAAAGAGTAAGTTCTTTGACAGATTAAATAAAATTGACAAACCCTTAGCCAAGCTTATCAAAAAAAAAAAAAAAAAAAAAAAGGAAAAGACTAAAAACCATGCAATTGGGAATGAAAAGGGCAAAATTACCACAGACTCTGTAGAAATCCAGAAAATCATCAAAACTTGTATGCTAACAAGATGGAAAATACAGAAGAAATGGACAGATTCCTAAATACAAATGAATTACCAAAACTGAATCAAAAAGATATTAAAATCTTGGGGGCTGGGGATTTAGCTCAGTGGCATAAACACCTGCCTTGCAAGCAGGCAGTCCTGAGTTGGATCCCCGGTACTGATAAAAAGAGAAAAAGAAAAAAAAATTAAAAAAAAAAGATATTAAAATCTTAAATAACCCAGTATCAATCAATGAAATTGAAGATGCAATTAAAAACCTATCAACAAAGAAAAGTCCAGGCCGTGACAGATTCACTGCTGAATTTTTCAAGAAATTTAGTGAAAAGATAACGCCACGACTTCTCAAACTCTTTATTGAAATTGAAAAGGAAGCAGTACTCTCAAATTCATTCCTAGAAGCATTACTCTGATTTGAAAGCCAGAGAAGGACCCAACTAAGAAAGAGAATTATAGACCAATCTCCCTAATGAATACAGATGTAAAAATTCTCAATAAGATACTGGCAAACAGACTACGGCAAATAGTCAAAAAGGTTATACACCATGATCAACTGGAATTCACCCCAGGCATGCAGGGATGGTTCAACATACATAAATCCATAAATGTGATACACCATATTCACCAAGCCAAGGACAAAAATCATGATCATCTCAATAGATACAGAAAAAGATTTTGACAAAGTCCAGTACCTATTCATGATAAAAACTCTGCTGAACTCAAGTTTTCGTGCTTCTCTCAATAGATCATGCTAAGCCTCCGCGAACCTCCATGGTAGCGTTGCTACAACTCTCCTGAAAGAAGGAATCAAGGTATGGAGAAAGCTGGGCTTTGCCACACAACTATTGTGGGGCCTGCCACCATTCACAGAATCTTTATGATTCAGTTTTCTTTTGGGTAAAAAGCATATTTTAAGAAGTATAATACATTCTACAAAGTTTGAAAATTAAAGTAGTATACGAAAGAAGAGCACCAGGCCTAACACTGAGTAAAAAGAAATGTCTGAAAGAAAAAAGGTAAACTTCTATGCTTAGTATCACCAGCATTCTTCCCTGATCTACATTTAGTGTGAGAAGATATAAAAACATTTTTCCAGTAATTGAGAAAATGGAATTGGCCTCTTCGACTTCCGGCATTTACTATAATTAACAACAATGAAAACCATGGATTACTCTCTACAGGAAGCTCATCAGATGTTTGAGAAATGAAAATAAAAGTAAAAGCCTGACAGAAGTTACACAAGGAGAAGGAAAGGGTCAGATTATAAGTATCTTCCTAAGGCTCAGCCCAGTTTTTTCTTGGCTACCCAGAAAAAAAGAGCCTGAAAATTTAAATCAGCTGCTTTATGGCCCTTGGGAAAAATAAGCACAGCAGCCAAGCCAGAAACTACTGAACTGAAAAGCAGCAAAGTAGGAGACAAAACAAGCAAAGAAAATTGTGGTCAAGGAAGCAGGGCCCAGACGGAGCAGTGTCTACATAAACACATGAATAAATACACATGACAGAAAGTATACCCATATGGCACAAGCATTTGCTTAGCAAGTACTAAGTCAGAAGTTCACTTTCTGGCACAAAAAAAAAAAAAATTAGGCAAAACCTGTGCGTCATTCAAACACTCACATTTGTCATACTTGCCCTTGGGTCACAAAGGGGTATTTTGGAGAAGACAGTCTGTAAGTCCTGACTCTTACAGAAATTCATTTATCATAAAATGTCACAATGTCTGGATTATTTGCTATGCAGTTATGCATTTATTTGTGAGATTTATAAAATTGTGTTCTGCACCAAAATGTCTCTAGGGACAGGTAAGGCAATCCAACCCAAGCTATAATCTTGTTAGCACATCACACCTCATGCTCCCTCATCCCAGCCGCCTAACACACACATTTCACACTCGGCCTCTTGGTCCCCACATGTGCCAAACACTATAGTAAATCACTTTGGGGACAGGGCATTTTGCCTTTAAAAAAGAAAGAAAGAGGAAAAAAAAAAAAAGATATGGAAGCAAACACTGCATCCCAACTCTGCTGCACATTAGAATCTATACCAAGTTGTAAGTGTGCATTACTGTTTCGAGAATGTCTGGCAAGGCTTACATCTGGAGCTAAACCAAGCTCTCCATCTGTTGGATTTGCCTCTTTTACTCAATGTTAATTTTTTCAATTGTTTGCAAAACCAATTTAATAACTGTTATGAAAATGGAAAATTATAGGCACAAAGGGAGCAAAGAATGAAAGAAAAGTCACATTTAGGTTTCACAATTCTAAAATCTCCTCTTAATTCCCCGACAGCTCACTGCTGTATCTTAGCAGTGCTTCCTCAAGAGGGACCAACTCTATCAATGTGGTACTCTGTTAACTGCTTCGCTCTGTCCTAAGTAACCCATGATGACTTAGCTCCATAGACTGTACCTGATTCTGTTTACTACAAATAGAAAAGGCCATGAATAAAAACATCAAAGTTCTAGATTCCTGTGAACCATGCACTAAAATTGCAAAGAACAGCAGAAATTTTCAGAGAAAAGCCTTCCCATAGCTTATGCACAAGATCCTATATGCTGGCAGCTAATATGCCTGAAAAGGGCTTACAACCAACTCTCAGTAGAAGATTCACAGAACCGCCAGCACTTTGAGCTATTTTAATACAGCAAAGTGAAAACCCTGTATATTTCTGCTTTTCTTGATTCAGTATAACATTTTTTCCACTCCTACAGATATCAAGGCTTAAAATAATAGTGCTTTTCAGTGCATTCTACTTAGAAAGATATAGTACAACTAAGGATGACCCATGGGTCTCTGAAAGAGAAATTTTCAATCCTTACCTGATATTAACCAATGCATGGGTCACTTTGCTAGCTGCTTCCTTCCACTGGCCTGCATTGGTAGACAGCCTCAGGACTGTAAAGAAGCAAAGAACACAGATCTGTCAAACTCTTCATAAAAACACAAATATGAAGAATAAATACATACCTCAGAATAGTACTATTAGAATAACCAAACAGCAGCTATGCCAATCTTTGGTTAAAAACATTGTTGCTTTAGGGAGAAATATAAGGGCTTATAGAACTCATTCAACAATTTTCTCTGGGAATTTTTTTCTCTAATCTCTTATTTTCTATCAAAATACTCCACTTCTTTGCCTTGGGGTCCTTCCGCCACTCCTACCTGACACGATGCTAACAAGGTTCCAACACCTAGTTTGGTTTTCTTCCCAACACTTACTTTTTAACATTCATTTAAAAGTTAGAATAGGGTAGGAATGTACGGGAAATTTGGGTATCATACTTGCCATTTCCCTTGGTCAGGGCTAAATTAGTGGAAGTTAGTGTCCTCTCTTGCTTTCTATAATGAAAGGGGTAAATACAAACAAGACAAATAACCTGTTATGGCTTATGTCTAGACGTCCCCCCAAAGCCTCAAGTGGTCATAAGGCTTTTTCAGAAGTAACTGATTCTAGAGTATGTGGTACTGAGCATAAGGGTGTGTGATTAGTGAATTAATCCACTGACTGACTTGGCACAGTTCTGGCTAGGACTTAAGGGTGTGAGAACTACACAGCCCTACAATGGGCACCCTACATACAGTATAAGAAACAGAAAGTCTTGTCTTCCTGACTTACTGCTTTTGCTGCCTTCCACCGCCATGAACTGTTGCCCTCTGCCATGCATCACTCTGCCTTAGAGCCAGCAAACTATGGACCAAAACCTCTACAAACTATGAGGTAAATAAACCTTTCTTCCCTTAACTTTGGGCATCAGGTATTTTGTCTCGGCAATGAGAGAAAAGAAACTAGGACACAACCTTTCTGGTTAGGTATAATCATGTTTGAATTAAGAAGTAATCTTTTAAAATTAAAAAAAGAAGTAATCTTTTATTATGCTGCTGACTTAATTGAATCAACAGGAAGACTCTTCTCTGTCTGACCAAATTCTCTTTTCCAAACTTACTCACAGGAGGAAAGATGACGAAAATACAAAAAATGGACACATCCTCCATGAACTATGATCTCCAGGGCCATGTATTAAAGTAACTATGCAGCTGGTCCTGGCAGTGCCCACAGTCCTACCACTCTGGGAGACTGAGGCAGGAGGATCACAGTATTCAAGCCCAGCAGGACAACTAGTGACTTAGCAAGACTGTCTCAAAAAGGGCTGGGATGTAGCTCAATATAAAGGCCCTGGATTTAGTCCACAGTAGTAGGAAAAAACAAAAACAAAAACAAAACCCTGTACTATTTAGACAAGAGATCAAAAAAACACAAGTGCTCCTTAAAACAACAAGCACCTGCTGGTCACTTCAAGTGTAAATTTTAATGAGTGACAAGTTAATAAGAGGTAGAATTTACTATCTATATGCCAGGTGCATTAGACACAGGTTATACAGAATATAACATACAGATGAAAAAGCTCAAGACTCAGAGGACACAAGTAGTTGGTTAAAGTCAGTTGCTCAAGTTCTAAGTGACAGAACAGCAATTCGAACCTGAAGGGAAGGACCCCAAGAGCCTGTGCACATGCAGAGAAGTGAGTGAAGAGCATGGTCTCTGAAGCCAGGTGTCGGGGTCAGGTGTAGCCCCTGCCATTTACTAGAGAATGATAGTAATACCTATAGGACATGGTCATTTGAGAACTAAATGAGTTAGTGCACATTATACTTTTATGATTAGTATCCCTCACAAAAGCTAATTTATTTTAATAGAGTACCTTCCAAATAAATGAATAAACGACATAGACAAGACATTCCCAAAGGAAAGCAAAAGGGCCTATCATTAAGAAACAAGTGCCCATCTGCGTAGGAGCTTCACCTCTGCACACCATCATCTTCTCCTCCTGACCCACAATTCCCAAGAAGCACAGCAGCAGCAGCATTTCTATACCAGAGATAGCCATGGCTGTGATGGGAAACAGACTCATTTGGCAGGTCTGTGTTTGTTCCAGCAATGCCTCAGTTTTATAAACACATGCAATTTATGGCACAGAAGACAGAATGGAAATTAGAATGCTGCTTTTCTAATTTATAAAACTTATTGCAGAGGCACTTGGGATAGTTTTGAATTAGAGCTCTACAAGGTGCAGTCAGGCTCTACTCAGTGTATGTGCAAATTTTTCCCTGTAAGAAAGAAAATTATTTTGGCAGGTCAGATGTGTCTTTTTCAACTCCATTATTTCAATGTTTTCATTTCCTACTAGATTTCCTAGTAGACCACAAGCTCTTTAATGACAGTGTTATAGATTAAAAACTGGTGGTCAACTTAACGCCAGTGGAATTAAATCACCATAAGGAAAGCTGCCAGCATAGATAGAAACTTGAAGAAGGAGAAGGGAGGCATTGAGGTTTTGAGGCATTGCGGGTTCTCCTATGTGTTGCTGTCTGAGCCATTGGTTCTCCTGGAGAAGCTCTGGTCCTCACATCAAGCATTGCTTCCTGCCTTTGGAGGGGAAGACGTGTGCCGCTTGGTCTCCAGGATGAACTCATCACGCTGGCTTCCTAGCACGTACCCAACTGTACTTGTCATCAGAGGAGCTGAGGCCCTCTGTGTCGCTGAGGATGGCTGTAGTGCTTTTCAGGACAGCCCTGGTCTTTGTTGTGAGTGTCACTTCTCGGCTCCAGCGTAAAACCCTCAACCCACCAGCACAGCTCCTTCACCCTGCTGGCATGGACTTTCTAGCTTCCACCACTGACCTTTGCCTTCCCAGCACAGATCCGTAAAAGAGACTGGCTTGAGTCCTTCCTGTGGGCTCTGGACCTTCAATTGGACTTGTGAGAGGCACTGTCATGAGCTCTGGGTCTTCACCTGGATTTGAGGGACATTGCTGTGGGATTCAGACCCTTGGATAAATAATCTGTGTCTTTAGTATTGTGGATAGATTTCCTGCATTTTCTTGTGTTAACTCTGGGTGACCATCATAAAATAATGTTATAAATTTCATGTCCTGATTTTAATTGTTCTCTTCACAACCCCTGACTACAACAGACAGGGACCTAAATATTTATGGAATTGTTCCAAATCTCACCTCCTCACATTTTCAGAGAGGTCTTGTACTGGGTTTGCGGATCATTTCTCCAAAACACCGTGCCAGTTCTGTGTCTTAGTAACAGTAACCCAGACAACCTCATCAATGCATTTCCTTTGGAAAATTTTTTTTTAGATTCTTTTCTAAGCTACCAAATTAAAATACATAATTTTTCAAAATGCCCTATTTGCCTTAAACTAAAGCAATCATTTATGTATAAAAATATGGTACATAAAATAACATTATGCAGTTGTTAAAAGAGACTTAACTACAAAAATGTAGAACACAAAAATTACAAAAGATGAACTAGAGCCGGGGATTTAGCTCAGTAGCTGAAGCACTTGCCTGGTAAGCATGAGGTTGTAAGTTCGATCCATAGTACCCAAAAAAAAAAAAAAAAAAGACAAACTAGAAAAATACTATGATTATATGAACTATGCATGCCTGTGGGCCAATGTACAACAATGAAAAGAGTTGTAGCACTGAAATTAAAGCCTAATAAGGCATAAAATGTTTACCAAGCTTTTCCCTTAGTCTCAGTAATTGTTATTTAAATGAAAAACAGCTCGAAGCATGTTATATATTGTTCAGAGTAGCTTCTGTTAAGGATCCTCTTATTTGTGGACTTCACTACAGTAAAATGCCACAGGAACATCATCAGTGTGCCTCACCTATGACAAGAATCTTCCTGTTGGCTGGGGATATAGCTCAGTGGTGGCAAGCACAAGGTCATAAGTTTGATCCTTGGTACTAAAAAAAAAAAAAAAAAGAAAGAAAGAAAAGTATAGAAAAGAAACTTCCTGTTCTATCCATGATGGGTTAGCATCATAGTATGCCCGCCTCCTTAAACAATATAAAACAACGGTTACCAGACACTGGACAACAAGCAGTTTGGAGCTGTAATCCCCAAGAGGGGAGAACATCCAAGATACACCTATGGCTACCCCAGCTTATGGAGTGAAGGAGTTTCCAGGCTACAGGGCAGGGAGAAAGAATCCGAACAAAAAAATCTTGCCAAGTTGAAGACACAGAGATCAGGTTTGTGGAGGTCCAGGCATCTGGAAGGAACAGGGCAGGGAGCTGGCAGGGAAAGATTCTGAGAGCTCCAGGGATCTACAGAGGGGTCCCCTTATTACTCTTACTGAACACTGACCTATGCAATGGAAAAGGCAACTAGCCAAGAGTGAGGAGCAAAGAACTACCGGGAAGGAGGAAGAAAACAGTTCATGCTTCCACCAGACAGCCGAAAGACCTGGGGTATCAGGTAGACTCTACAGATGGGTACTACACTATAATTAGGCCAACGTAGCCTACAGTAAAAGTTGCTTTTGACCTGTCCTCAACCCTTAAAAGCGAACCTTGAAAGTATCAACCTGATTCCACATAACATAAACACATGGCAGAACAATGCCCAAGCTTATATAAAGGAACATCAAAAAAACCCAGCATTCATACCGAAAAAATCACAGTATCTTTCATCCTCAAGCAGAAGAAAAATTGAGCAATAGAAATGGATTGCGGTTGCTAAGAATTGGGAGTGGGCAAAGGAGGTGACTTCACAAGAGCAAGGAAAGAATTTTGGGGATGATAAAACTCTGATCTTCATTTTTATGATAACTATGCTATTATACACACTTGTCAAAACTCAGAATTTTACATTCAAAAGGATGAACTTTATTGCATATATAAATTATGCCTCAAAAATTTAGGCCAGGCGTGTGGCACACTCCTGTAATCCCACCATGCTGGAGGCTCAGGCAGGATGATAGCTGAAAGTTCCAGGCCAGCCTGGGCTACACAGTGAGTTCAAGGCCATCCTAAACTATATAATGAAACCCTATTTTGGGCTGAGGATTTAGCTCAGCGGCAAAAACACCAGCCTGGCAACCATGAGGTCGTGAATTCAATCCCTGGTACCACAAAAAAGAAAGAAAGAAAGAAAGAAAGAAAGAAAGAAAGAAAGAAACCCTATTTCAAAAACAAAAACAAAAACAACTAGAAAATGTGTTTTACTCAGCCATGGTGGTTCATGCACATGATTCCAGCACACTGAGCAGGCAGCTGAGACAGGAAGCTGACAAAGCCCCATCCTGGCAGTTAATGACTTAGTAAGGCCCTGTCTCAGAACAAAAAGGGCAGTGCATACAGCTCAGGGCAAAGATCCTGGGTTTTTCAGTGCAGCAAAAAACCAACTAACCCAACAACCTGAGGCCCTGTCTCCAAATAAAAAGGGATGTATAAGGATACAGCTAATTTGCCGAGATGTTGGGCTCAATCCTCAACACCACAAAAATAGAGAGACAGCAGGGTATGGTAGCACACACCTATAACCCCAGCACTCAGGAGGCCGAGGCAAGAAGATCACTGTGAGGTTAAGGCCAGCTTGGGCTTCATAGTGAGTTCCTAGCCATCTTCAGCTACACAGTGAGACCCTGACTCAAAAACAAACAAAATGAGAAAAAAAGCAGGGAGACTGGGGTGGGACTGATGTGACAACTGGAATTTGTTATGAGGGGAACTGATCTGATACTAAAGTTGTTATTCTGAATGAGAAAGTGAAGAAATAGGAAAAGTGTACTAATTTTCCTATTGATTAAAATAGTTTAAATAAAGGCTGAGTATGGTGGCATATGCCTGTAATCCTAGCACTTGGGAGGCAGAGGAAGGAGGATCACTGTGAATTCAAAGCCAGCCTCAGCTATCTAGCTATCTAATGAGTTCAAAACCAGCCTGAACCACGGAGCAAGACCCTGTCAAAACAAAAAAAGCACCCCAAGTTTAAATCAGTTTTCAGATACTTGAGTTGAAAAATCTTACTAATACAAGGCCCTGTTCTCATGGTCTAAAACATCATAGCAAACTTATATAAATGGGCTTCTTAAAAGTTTTCTTCTTTACCTTTCAAGCTCTAGATAGGATTCTCAAGACTCTTTTCTTGGACTTCCAGGGAAGTCTTCAAAAAGTAATTTATACTCACTATGGTTGCAGAGTAAAATTTTCAGTGAGCTAATAACTAAAAAATTTTGATATAATCTCCTGTTTTTGTTTTGTTTTGTTTTGTACAGGGAACAGAACTCAGGACCTTGCTTGTTTGCCAGGTGCGCGCTGAGCCTCTGTCATGGTTTAAGTCTGTGTCCCCCAGGCCTCATGAGTTTGCATTGGGTATTTGTGATTGGTTCATTGTCTAGTGCTTGGATTGATGGTGTCAGTGCTCCACCCACAAAGGGGTGGAGCCACAATTCACCTGTAATGGCAGGAAGAAGGTGTGTCTTGCTCTTTCCTTGTTCCTGTTTGCTGTTTGCAGCAGCCATGAAAGGCGGCCCAGCCATGCCCACCTGCCTGGGAGCCAACTGAGTGTGGACTGAAACCTCCAAAAACTGTAAGAAATAAACCTTTCCTTTCCCAACTTGGGCATCAGGTATTTTGTCTCAGCGACAAGTAAAAAGTAACTAAGACAGCCTCTGAACTACACACCTAGGGCCTCTTTCCTTTTCTTTTTTTTTTTTTTTTTTTTTTTTTTTTTAAATGCTTTTTTGGTTTGTTTTGAGCAGGATCTCACTGTGTAATTTGGGATGGCCTTGAGTTCATTATGCAGCCCAGGCTGATCCTGAACTCATGATGATCCTCCTGCCTCTGTTTCCTGAATGTTGGGATTGTAGGTGTGCACTGCCATGCCCAGCTAATGCCCATTACTTCTTGGAAATTATGCTAAAAATACCCAGGTACACTAAGACTCTTAAAAATTCTGTGCTTTCTCAAATTACATAATGCCTCTTTGGGAGCAAAGCTCTATTTGTCACCATCAATTCCCACCCACTCTTTTAATCCCTTCTCATTGACACTCACTGAATCCACAGGCTTCTCCATTCTGTCTTTTCACACACATCAATGAAGGTTGCTAACCAGCTTTCCACTGAGATGAAATCTAAGCTCCCCCATACAAAAGGACTGCATATGCTTTCTTATTGCCTGAGAAGAGAGTACTATATTTCTGTGCCTAGTAATAGCACCAACCAACTAGAGGAAAACTTTTGTAGCATTTATCTCTTACAAAAAACAAACAGGGGATAGAGAAGGAAAAGTGAAAAGAAAAGAGCTTACCCATAGAGTAGAGGTTGTCAAAGCTCTGGTGCATGCGAATAATCTCATAGTAAAGTTCATCATAGCTGCTGGGGGTCGGCAGGAATGTGTCACCATATGTGATAAACATGTTAAACAGGTTCACAATCTAAAAAAGAAGCAATAGTTCATAAATAGACGTCAGGCTATGAAGACCAAACAAGTATTATCAGTGATATGCCAAAGTCACCTCCGGCTGGCTTACAAGAATTGGTTGTGAAAATTTCAAGGATTTCATAAAACAGTTACAAAACAGAGCCCTTTTTAAAACCCACTCATATAAACTACTAACTAAATTATATTAAAATGAAGGTAATAAATATTCAAAATATATCACTTGCCAGCATTTTCCATCTTTGAATGCGATATGCACCTGAAACTATTCTGCAGCTCTTGCCCCTGGCAGTGAGAACACCAAAGGACAATGTGCTACCTCTCCCCATTTGGTGTGGCTCTGACGTCATACTGACAGCTCACAACTGGCTGTTGGGCAAAGCTCTATAACAGAGATCAGTCAGTGCTACAACCAGGATCTTCCCCACCAAGTGCTGAGCATTTCTGAATGGGGTAATCCTAAGATAGTAAAAAGACAAAATGGCTTCCTTCTACCCACAAGAACCAGTCAGATAAACTGGCATTGCAGTGTCACTCAGAAACTAAAAGCAGCATGATGGGACCACTCCCCCGGTGGGACGCCTCGAGAGGCTTTGCTACAGGGACTGTGATAGCGTGAGGCCGCAGCTAGGACCAAGGCCACTGTCCACACCAGAGATCTGCCTACACCCACTGGGCCAGGTCACCTCTCAGGAAGAAAAAGAATCCCAGGTTACCACGCAGATGAGAGTGACATTCTGACCCCAGAGGAAAACAGACTTGTTCCCTTTATATTTAAATATATTTATAATTTATATATATGTATATATATATATATGTATGTATATATATATATTTATATTTAGTTTCTCTCTTTTAAACCAGTGGATTTCTGCCTTAGCCCATGGCTTCAGAAAAAGAAATGTTTGTTTTGTTACTCACCATAAGGGTTAATGTAAAAATGTTGTGTTTGGCCAAAAGAATAGTTTCATTTGACATAAGGAACTTCAGCAAATTTATCAGGGCTTTAAAAGAAGAGAAAAAAAAGACATCAACAAACTATTCAAAATGTAATTAAGTTACAGGAAGCAGAATAGTTCTACAGAAATCTCTAAGGCTAGAATAAGTAAGCCTCAGCTACCATTTTCTTACACACATTCATTTTTATTAAAACATAACTATACATTTATTTATGGGATACACTGTGCTATTTCAACACATGCAGACAGTGTATATTAATCAAATCAGGGTCACTAGCATTTTTGCCTCCTAATCATATGTTTTGGGGAAGGGGTTGGCATTTGAGACAGGAGTCACTTGGTGAACTTGCTGTGTAACTCAGGCTGGCCTCTAACTCTTGATCTTTTGTGCTCATTCTCCCAAGTGCCAGGGTTATGGACATGTGTCATCAGCCAGGCTCCTCCTCAGCTCTCTATATTTGGAGGTGTTGAGCTCTTCACTCCTAGTTCTTCATAAATGCATAATGGGCTTCTGTAAACTGCAGTCCTCGCACCACGCTGTGGAACACTAGCTATCATTGCTTCTATTCATCTTTTGGTATCCATTATCCAACTTCCCTCCATCCCTCTCCCTACCCCAGCTTCTAGTAATCACTATTCTACATTCAGATAGATTTTTTTTGCTTCCAAATCCAAGAGAAAATACGTACTGTCTTGTTTATTTCACTCAACATAGTCTTTTAGTTCCACCTACTTTACAGAAAATGTCAAGGCTTCCCTTCATATGGCTAAAGGATATTCTACTGTATGCACACATACTGCACTTTTAAAACCCAATCATCCACTGATGAGCACCTAGGCTGACTCCACACCTCAGCTACCATGTGTAGGCTGGAATAAACATGGGACTACAGTATGTCTTTGATACGCTGATATCATTTCCTTTGGTCATACATCTACAAGTAGGATAGCTAGATGACATGGTAGGTTTTAGTTTTTCTGATGAACCTTCATACTAATCTCCATAGTGGCTGCACTAATTTATAACCTCTGCAACAGTGCTTTAAGTATTTTAAGCTGCATATAGTAGAATATGCCTAGAATTCCAGCACTTTAGGATGCTGAGGTGGAAAGATCACAAGCTTGGGCAACTTTTCAACTTTGCCAGACCTTGCCTCAAAATTTATAAAAAACAAAAAAAAAAAAAAATTTTTTTTTTTCATTTCTAAAAGAAAAGGCCACAGGTATATCTTGCATGTGAAGGCTCCAGGTCAGTGGCAGTGAACCTACACCTATGGCACTTGTGCCTCAGAGAGCCATGGTATCACTGAAAGTTCCCCATTACTAGCTGGAGCAACACAAAGCAAGCACCACAGCACAAAAAAACCATGGAGCTCTGCTTTCAGGGGTATGGATATGGTTCAGTGGTAAAGCTCCTGGCCAGCAGGAGTGAATCCCGTGATTCTATCCCCAGCACCTAGAAGAGTTCTCTTTTTCCTCTCTCCTTTTCAGGGTCTGTGGTCACCTCTGCCCTACTTCTGTTTTTCTTTTTGTAATGCTGAAAACTGAACCCAAGAGTGCTTTCCCGTTGAACTACATACTAAATCCCTTTTAGTTTCAGTTTGAAGCAGTCTCTTTGGACTTGAGATTCTCCTGCCTCAGCTTTCCAACCCCAAGTAGCTGTAACTAGAGGCATAAGCCTGGCAGACTTGTCTTTTTAAAAATCTTTTTTTCTTTTTTTTTCCTTTTTATCGGTACCGGGGATTGAACTCATGACTGCCTGCTTGCAAGGCAGGCGCGTATGCCGCTGAGCTAAATCCCCAGCCCCTTTTTAAAAATCTTTATTAGCACATTTACAGAATATAATGACCACATTATTGTGGGGAATTGATACTGTGATATGTACATAACATATCTCAATTCTTTTTTTCCCTTTCTTTTTTTGTTTTTGTTTGTTTGAGAAAAGGTCTCACTATGCAGTTCAGGCTGGCCTTAACCTCACTTTGTAGTCCAGGCTGTCCTTGAACTCACAGCAATCCTCCTGCCTCAGCCTTCTGAGTACTAAGATTACAAGCACACTCCACCACTCCCAGCTTTTCCCCTCCAGTTTTTAAAATCTTTTTCCTTTTTTTTTTTTTTTTTGCCAGCATCATATTTATTTTACAAGTATGTATCAAGTTAACTATCATAAACACAAATTAACAGCCAGACAAACAAGCCAAAAAATATACAAAACACATAAAACAATTATACTAAAACAAGTTAAAGTTTTAGATACAATGACTATGCTGGGTTATAATAACATTTTCCTTCCTCTCTCTCTCTCTTTTTCCTGTTAAGACTTTTTGTCTTTTGGTAACAGCTGTTCTAACTAGGATGAGACAGGATCTCATTGAGCCTTTGATTGGTTTGGTGTGATTTGGTTTGGTTTTTTGAGACGGGGTCTGCTGTGTAATGCAGGCTGGTCTTGAACTCACTATGTAGCCCAGGCTGGCCTCAAATTTGCAGCAATCCTCTTGCTTTAGCCTCGGGAGTGCTGGGATTACAGGCATGCACCACCACATCCGGTGCTTTTTCTTCTTGATAGCTAATGATATTGAGCATTTTTCATATATTTGTGGGCCATTTGTATTTCCTCTTTTGAGAAATGTCTACTCATATCATGTGCCCAGGGTTTTTGTTTGTATTTTGCTGCTGGGGCAGAGCCCATGGTTCCACACATATTAAGCACACCCTCTATCACTGAACACATGCCCAGCCCTGCCCATTTTTAATTGGATAATTTCATTATTCAGCATTTTGATTTCTTTATATATCGTAAAACCAATCCTGTCAAATTTTGGGAATGTTTTTTCCAATTTTGTAGGCTGGCTCACACTCTGTTTCCTTTGCTATATAGAAGCTACATAGTCTGACATTTGACCATCTCTCTTTTTGCTTTTGGGATCTTTTATCTAAAGCCTTTTGAAAGGGAAATTAAGGATCAAGGATGTAGTTAAGGGGTGTAGCTCTCATCTCATACTGGTCAGGGGTTCAATTTCCAGTACTCCCCAAGAACAGATAAGGGTAGTGCACTTAAAGAAAGTGCTTTCCCTGCAACATGTCTATTTATCTGCTTGTGTAAAGTTTTAAAAATCTACTTCTTTTTGCTCCTACTTAAACAGCAATTAAACTGAGCAATGTGACTAAAACTGGCATCTTAAGGTTTCCACATTTGCTCCCACTTGGTGATTTCCCTATCTCATCGCTCAAATTGACAGGAAAGGGTAAGAGTTACCATCCTGCTCTGACTGCCAGCATCTATTGTCAACCTGTTTGAGCCATGGACCTGGGTAAAACATCACAGCCTAGAGGGCCACTGACCATTCTGGTTGTTCACTGGATGTGGCATCCACGCTGTAGAACCCACCAGACTCCTACCTCCCACCCCCCCCATGGGGGAGGAGGCTGCAGAAAGAGAAAGACAAGTCCTTTCTTATTCTAGCTATTTAGTAGAAAGTGCAGCTTATTGTGTTCCCTCCTAACAGTGACATTTACTGAACTGTTCTCTCTGCCTGGCAATCCTTAGTGAGGGGAACGCTAAAACCCAAATAAACTCAATATAGAGAGTGACTGTCAGGTTCCTAAGTTAACAGTACAGCTTCAAAGAGATTTTTGCAAACAAACATTAAGCCATAATAGAACTTTTCAATTGTCTCATACTCACACATAAGATATCTGTCCATGCACAAGTGCCGCTGCTGTACGTATCTTTGCAAGTGTCCCTGTGCCTACTGTCCTTGACAAGAAAACTATACAGAAGGGTATCGGCAGCTGCAAGCAAATCTGTGCCAGAAACCTGCCTCCTTCCATAACGTCCCAGACAAAACAAAAACCACAACAAAAAACCGCTAACCTCTCCTTCTCTAAGACCATATAAGCTGCCTCACCAGCTGTTACAGTTCACACCTGGATTCCCCCAAGCCTCATGCATTCAAAGAGAGAGCTTTTGAAAGGTGATAGGATTATGTAGTGCAATAGCTAGGTATGAAATTGGGAGGTGGGGCACACTTGGAAGAGGCCTACCACAGTGCATCTCCTTCCTGGCTCTTCCCCTCACTCTGCTTCCTGTCCACCATGACATGAGCAGCTCTCCCCTGCCCAGGTCCTTCTGCCATGCCACTGACCATGCAAGAACTGTCACTTCTGAAACATGCGCTGAAACAAACCTCTCCTCCAGTATGTTATAGGTGTCAAGTATTGTGTCCTTCTAATGGGGAAGTAGTTAACACACAGCACAGAAGCCTATTCTCCCACACTGCCCGAGCTTTGTGGGAACCCTGTTATTCTTAGAGAAGAACTGTACAGCAGGGAAGGGAAGTAGGAATGAGACATGGGCCTGACACACAACCCCCTCATTCCCACTCTAACAGCACAGTCCAACGACAAGTCTGCAGGGGGAGTAAGCATAGAGTCTGGCTGCACTAAGGCCTGAGTCCTCACCTCCAACAGCAAAAGGCCTTACAAGGGCTGAGAAAGACAAACATCCTCACTTTCGAACTCCTTACCCTTGCACCAAATTGTCATCTAGGGTTTCCTGATGGAAGATAAATGGCAGGCTGCTGACCCTTTGGATAGTCTGTTAACAGGTAAGCTGCTAGACTGGATTAGGGGTGAGGGGAAGCCCCACAAGAACCCATTCTGGATCACACTTGGTCTCACTCCTGCTACAGACTCAGGGACTGAAGAGGGTCAGCTAAGAATCCACACAGATCGGATAACCCCAGCCCAAACGTCCTCCTTTAAAATTAAGTGTAGCTTTCTGAACTATCTCAAGTGTTTCAATAAACTCTGAGAATGGATAAACGCCTAGCAATTAGACTCTATAAACTCACAGAGACAAAAGAAAGGGCTGGGTAGCACACACAGCACTCTGCAGAACATGTAATGGGGAAAGAGAGACCAAGCAGCTTTTTTTTTTTTTTAGTTCAACAGTGGCCTTGAACTCACACTACATAGCCCAGGCTGGCCTCAGCGCACAGCAATCCACTACTGGAATTACAAGCGTGCATCACCACACCCAGCCC